TGCAATGCTTGATAAGAAATGTACGCATTATCCTGCCCATGTAATTGTAACCCCTCTGTACAGTATGTTCACAAAAAAATATATATATATATATATAAAATATCCTTAGCAATACCCAAAGATAGAGCAAAGGGGTGGGACAGTCCCTGAGTCAGGAGGACAGCAGTGAGCTTATTGATACAGTATGGCCTCATGTATTACTTGCACACTTCTTTGCATATCCCTTTTTAGCTAACTATTCTAAATCCTGTTATAGATATGGAGGCTAAGTTTAGCAAATCATTGGGCTGTTTATGTTTAGTGCACAAAATTCTTAATTAACGAAGTAAAATGCCACAGTCCATTGTAAATCACTTCACTAAACTTTTAAACTTAATAAGGAATTTTGTCTTATCCAAAAGTTACTTTCAAACCCCTGCTGATCTGGCACTCATGTATGATTCCCTGTGGAGCTGAGCGAAAGAATGTAAAGGGAGCCAATTAAAGAAACTTTGAGCCAGAATAGACAAGCAGGGGCCATCTTGTCCATCCTTCTGCCTGCAGGCACAGACTATGCTGCAGCACAATTTTTTTCTCCTTGAATCTCACTGACAAAAATGCTCGCTACATGGAAATGACAAGTCATAATCCAGTTATTGCAACTAAAGCAGATTGTTAACTGTTCGATGCTTATTTATTGTGTTGGAAAGATACTAAACCTCCAAGCTCATCTGAATTGTCATGATTTTGCCTTCCTAGAAAATCCTTTTGTATAAGAAGTGTACTCTAATAATTGTCAGGATGGGGAGATTTGTGTGCATAAAATTAAAAAAAATGATCTTCATCGCCTTATTAAATGTATTTCTGGTTTCCTTTCACTCTAGATTTACCTTATGGGTGGGAGGAAGCTTACACAGCAGATGGAATCAAGTACTTCATCAAGTAAGTGCAAACATCTTAAGCAAGTAAGCAGTTTTCCTCACATCTGGAGAGAACCTGAAAGTTGCAGAATAATCAGCAAAACCCAGAAACCCTCTTGGAGGTTATAAAAATTAGAAACAAGAAATGAAGCTTCAACATTTTTATTGCATGTGATTTAAATGCTAATATCAGATGTCACTTGGGGGGGAAATACCCCTGGCACACCCTTCAAGAGAATGAATGTTTGTTGTTCAGGGGAAATATCAGAAATAAAAGGGAACAGAGTCTTTAGTTGAACTTAATATTGGCTACCTGAATTCGTAAATAATAGTGTTTATGAAAAGTAAATATGAAAAATCCATTTTATATATCTTAAAATATTTTTACAATGTTAATAATAAGTGCCATTTAATACTTTAAAATGTACACAGATCATTCATTCTGCAAACACTTTTTGAGCACTTGCTGTTTGCCAGCCATTATTGTTTGCCCTGGAGATACAATAGGAAAATATAGAGACTGGAAGATATTCCCTGATATCATGAAATGTATATTACTGTGAGGAAATACATTTAGTAAGACATAAGCACGTCAGTGTAGGAACCACTTATCCCAGTGGCATCACAACAACCCTTTGTTGTTTGAGATATGTGAACCTTATCATCTCCTCCTAACTTTATAGATAAAGAAAATAAGAGCCTTGAAGCAATGCCAAAAAAGAAAAAAATCCACAGTTGCTACATTACCAAGCCAGAACTAGAATCGTAATCTTCTGATCCAAGATATTTTCTGCCATAGTAGACTGTGACTCAGAAACTTTGAGTGCCTGAGCAGGAATATATTTTCTAGCTGTTGGAGGCCTGGTGTTGCCTTGGACAGGGCGATCTGACACACTTCCATGTTCTAAATAATTCTGTTCATGTCAGCATTGGCATTATAAGAGCACAGAGGGGAAACTTACGGACTCACAAGATCCCAAGAAATTCCTTTTTCTGTCATTTTAACAAATTAGGCTGGATATATATCTGAGAAGAAAAGAGAGAAGACATGTCCTTGCTGTCCTTTCAAAATTTCATATACTTTCCAAAGGAGTTTCCAGATTTCAAATTCTCTATCCTTATCTCTTTACGCATGTTCCTACATGTCTCTTAACCTCTGTTTGCATATCATAAAGCGAGGTGATCTAATAGTATTGCTGAATGCTGGATACCTCGAAACATGACTACAAATAAGGAGACATCAGTATTTTACAATGTGGTAGAAAGGCCATTTTGATGTGAAAGGGAAAGCCTTAAAAAAAAAGTATATCATCATTAAAGAGATAAAGTTTTATATTTGGAAGGATTTAAGGAAAAGTTAGGGTTTCATGGTGTACTTTTTTGGGGGGAGGGGGGTCAGTCATGGGGCTTGAACTCTGGGCTTGGGCACTGTCCCTCAACTCTTCAACTCAAGGCTAGTGCTCTACCACTGGAGCCACAGTGCCACTTCCAGTTTTCTGATGGCTAATTGGAGATAAGAGTCTCACAGACTTTCCTCCCTGGGCTGGCTTTAAACCACGATCCTCAGATCTCAGCCTCCTGAGTAGCTAGGACTACAGGCGTGAGTCACCGGCACCCTGCTTTTTTTTTTTTTCTCTTCCAATCTCTAGACTGCTTACTAAGCAAAGGAACGTATGTACGGACATTGAGGGATAAGGATCCAGGAATCCCATATGTGTACTGTAAGGGTGACAGGACAATCAAAACTCCCATTCAAATTTGCATTTAGCACTAACTGATGCTCAGTGGCCACTCACACGCTATATGTATTTTCCTGTGCATTGCATCATTTAAACCCTTAACAAGGTGGACAGTAGATGCCACAGTGGCTGTTATTCATGGAGTTAGGGTGGTGTTGAGCTGCATTTTGCCTTCAGCCATACTCTTCTTCTAGAAGGTCTCCCAAAAGAAGCTAAAGGAACATATACTTTACTAACCTAGGCTATCATTACTAACCTAGGCCTTGGACAGATAACCAATAAGTGAGTCTATGCCCTGTAGAGATGTCTTTTCCTAAGTTTAGTCTTCTCTCAGTATCCAAAGCTGAATGTCAGAACCCAACTAAGATTCCTTGAGAAGGAAGGAACAAGTGCAAAAGGAAGCAAGAGGTGTCTCGCCTAGCAGTCAGCTTGTCTCACTGTGGTACCCAGTGGAGTAATCCACTGGCCCTTACACATGGGAGCAGCCTTACACTGGACTATTAAAAGGAAAGGATATTCAAGGAGATGAGCCAAATAGAAAGAGTTAGCAAAGTCTTCAGCTACCTTGAGATTCAGTGCTCCTATGGGCAGATAGGAAGAGGTGATGTTTACCTGTGCCCTTTTGCTCTACTCAGCATTCTATCAGTTCTCTTCCCTCATCTTGATACAGGAAGAAAACAGAAGGAGAAAGATAAAGTTTGTTTTCCAAAGGACTAAGGTGGGTGACATTGTCTCACCATTACAGTTACAGAGACTGTTGAAGAGGCTAGACCCGTCAAGGTCATGTGATCCAGGATGCCCGTCTCCAGAGCCACCCACACAAGTGTTCAAGTTGCATGACTCCCTCTCCTGATTTTAGGATTATCTGTTGATATAGGACAAGACAATCATTTCAAACCGATCTGATTTAGGTAAACTGCTATATATCTACTTTCAAACAGCATAATAGAAACTTGTTTCCAAGAATAGTAGTGATCTTCTAGAGATCAGAAAAGCCAGAGAGGGAAAATTAAAACAAAAACCTAACAGCATATCAGTGATCCCTTCACCCTGCCTCATGGAGGAGTGAGGTACTCACCGTGAGTCATTAGTTTCCTTGCCTTTGTCTTGTTTCTTATTGTTTGTTGTTAGAACTTAGCCCCATTCAGCACCAAGATGTATTTACTTTAACTATTCTCAACGAAAGTCTTCCTTTATTATGTACTGCATACCTCCTGCGTTCTTGTAGGGATCCCACTCAGAAAATCATGATGGGTTCTGCAGGGGATAGTAGGCCCTGTATGCGGGAACAGACTGTTCTCAAGACGGCTATCCCTCCTTTCTTCCTTTTGTTTCCCCCGCCACCTAAATCTCCCTTTTCCCCAAGTGTTTTGAAGAGCATATTATTACCAGCTCATCCAGGCTAATTTGAATTGACTGAATATTCCTAGTGCTAGTGCATTTAATTACATAAAGGTCATCTGATGGAAAGGAAAGAACATGGACTTTAGACATGGAGAAACCTGGATTCCAATGCTGGGGTCGCCACAGAAAACGTCCTTAGGGATGTTCATTTAACATGCCTCGAAGCTTTAAAATATATTAGCACTTCATAGGGATCGTTTCCAGAGTGCATAAGCTGATGTATGAGAAGAACCTGTCTAATTCACCTGCACACAAGCATAGCCTTCTTCATTCCCTCTCCTCACTCTGACACATTTAGTTAGGGGACATCTCCAGCTAAGTTGTCTACACAAGCTTCTGCTATATATCCTTCTTTGGGCTATTTTTACTGGGCATCAGTGGTTCATGCCTCTAATTCTCTCTTTCTACATTATAAACTGTTAGGATTTCGATAACTTTTTTACTTTGCCCAATAGGCTTTCTCCATTAGAAAGTCACCTGTAATCTTTCTTGCTACACTTTTACTGAGTTTTAAACAAAATTAAATTAATTCAAAGAATTGGTTCAAACTAGTGCCTTTCCCCTCAGTCTGCAGTCTTTGTGAAAGAATCATTGTGAAGGGGAAGCGTGATAGGCAGAATAATGGGTCCCCAATAATGTCTAAATCCTAGTCTCCAGGACTTGTGACAATGTTAGATTACATGATAAAGTAGCAAGTGGAAGTGGCTAATCCATTGACATTGAATTACAGGGAGTATCCTAAGTATCTAAGTGGATCTAACTAACTACTTGAGACTTTAACAGTGGAATAGAAAGAAAGAAGAGACAATCATCAGACATGTAACAATGGATGCATAATCCAAGATACACTATCCAACATAGATTGCTGGCCTTAAAGATAAGGGCCATGAGCCCAGGAATATGGATGGCCTTTAGTCATTTTAAGCCACAAAATTTTTAGTAATTCATTTATGCAACAGAAAAGTATCAGAGAGAAAAGTGAGAGAGTCATGGTCACAGTATACCTTGAATGCATTTGGCTTGATCTAGGGTATATATTCATACATGTTATCTATTAACAATCTGTATGTTGCACAGGTTAGAAAACAGCTTTAGAGTTTTAAGTAACTTCCCCAGCAACACACAGGTAATCCGGTTAGTACTTAGGAAAACTGCAATTTCAAATGCAATCTGCATAGTCTCTCTGAAAGACCAGTGCTCCAGATAGGCATCTCAGTACTAGCTCTTCTACCTTATTGCCTTGGATGAGACCCTTAAACCTTCTGAACCTCAACTTCTTCAACTGTAGAACATGTTGAGAAAAGGGGTTGAAAAACAAATGAGGAAATGGGTATCAAAAATTGTTGTGAAATACAAAATGCTTTTTCTGACAGAAGTCTTACCCAGCTACCTCATACCTGACCATCTATATCTAAGTGACAAATTCCAATATAAGGGAGCCTGCAGTGATCTTGGATCTTAACTGTACTTTATTACTCTGTCAGCATTAACCAGATACTTGCTGACAGTTTCCACCTTTCAGGCGGTCATAAAGTGCCTAGAGACATGGATTTCCTTCCATCTCAGAGGCTGAAAATCCCAATCTGATAAAAATCACTTCTGATAAAATCATTGAGACTCAGGGGCAGGTCAAGCTCTCTTTGCCATCAGATGTGTCTTTGTAATATTTTACACTCTAAAAATTAAAATGAGAGTTGTGTAGGTAGCATAATTTATTTGTATAAATGTAACACAAATCCTAGGATCCAAGTAACATTTACATAGATTACCACCTATCTAAAAAAAGAAAAAAAGTAAATGCAGCCAAAATTGTTTGCATTATCATACTGCTTCAACCATCACCTGCCACCAAATGTATCTCCAGATCTTTGCACATTAT